GCAGGCGTAGCTGGGTGGGCTCAGATCCCCCTCCCAGGCAAACAGGCATTGCCGCTGGTGCCTTTTGAAACTCTTACTAATGATGTGTGTGGAAGCTAAGTACTGAATGAATGTTGTTAGGCTCTGTGATGGTATAGCGCTGAAATGCATTGGAGGGGGGAAGAAGGGGTCTGGTATTTCTTCTGTGGGAAGTCGCTTTCAGACTCGAGGGATGCTCATCCAGCTCCAGCTAAAACAGTTCAGTTTAAAGTGGCACATAGAAATTCAGGTTGGCATTTCACTTTAGCCTACAGATGACAAAGATATATTTTATGATTGCTCAAAGCCAATGTCTGAATGAGAGAGGTGTTAGAAAAGGACATGCTGCAAACACAATCATACAGGCTTTTGGATAGCTAAAAACTCTTAAAAATGCAACAGCTGAGCAGGGGGCAATGAAAAATGGGAAATCTGTTGTTCAAGCTGTTCTCTTTCGTTTTATACATAGAGCTGGAGCAAGGACAGTCTTTCTGGTTTTTGTTTGTACAGCTCTTGTCACAAAGAGGTCCCGATCTGTGACCAGCCCTGTTAAGCACTGCAATAATCCAGTCATTCATTATTAACAGAGAGCAGAGGAAAAATGGGGACCTCAAATACAGCATGAGACAAGCAGGTGGGGAAATGAAGGTATGAATTATGTATCTGCCATGATGATGATGCTCTTACAGAGAAGTTGTTCTCCCCTAAGGAAAGAATCTGCTGGAAGAGCCGAGCATATTCTCAGTGCCTTCTCTGACAACAAGACGACGTCTCCCCATCCGAGGCCTCACCAAGTCCTTTTCTTTAGACCTTTTCCCTCCTGGGAGGACTTGATGCTTTGGTTAGTCCTGGGCTGGTGCCTGGCCCTAAAAGGAGAGCGCTGCTGGCTCTCCCACAGGGAAGTGGGATGCTGGTTTCCAACCCCACCTCCATGAGCGTCTGCAGCCCCGGGGCACGCTGCAAACAGGGTGCTCTCCCGGCACGGCATCCCGGTGTACTGGGCCGAAGGGGAACAGCTTTCTCATTTGCAATATGTTCCAACCAAGGCTTTTTGATTATCTGTGCCTTGCTTCCGTAAACACTGATTCCATGGAAAAATTGAAGTCCTAAATGTGTTTGAATACAGCCTTCAAATCTACATAAAGATAGTATTATAATTCCACTGGGTTTTACTGATTTATGGTGCCACCAGCTTGCTTGATGGAATGACTGTTTTTTATTGTGTCGGAAAGGGAACACGCTATTTTTTAAAGTATAACTGAATCCCATCAGAAATTGCACAGAGACCTGTCCTTTTACATGAACATGCCCCTAGGCGTCCGAGCTTACATTGGCAAAGGAAGAGCAGCTGGGCTGACAAATATGTCAGCTTGTGTCTGATTTTCCCCACCCTGGCCCTAATAAAGAACAAGATACAGGGAATAAAACAGCTGTTTGCTGTACAGCTGGGGATGGAGAGAGTAATGAAACATGATGCGGAATAAAAGTCAGCTGCAACTTGGCAACTCCCATTTCCTTATAGCAAAGAAGATGACTTAGACTGCATTCAGAATTGTGATATTATAGGTACAGAGTGATATGAACAATTTTTACAAGCTCTGGTTTTAGAGTTGACAAATTGGCATTCTGACTGAGAGGAACTGTGTTTAATCATTAATAGTTTCTTCCGAGCATGTTGGAGTTTTATTATTATTGTTTATCCAAGCTGGTATCTAGCAACAAAGACAAACATTTTAAAGCCAGCTGAAAACTGAACTTAAAAATAAACATGGTTTTCTCTGCAAAGACTGCAGAGCTAATAGCTTCTACAAACATTTGCAATGACAGCAACACTAAGAAATTTGCTGGTTGGATTTAAAAGTGTCCTTGACCTCCCCGGCGGGGTTCTGAGGCCAGCGGGGTCGCGAAAAGAAACTATTTGCTTCGGGTTTGACTTACACACATTTGGACAAGTGCAATATGCTGTTTCCTGTACTAGAAAAAAGGTGTTGAAGTGGTGCCAGTATAAAAGAAAATGTTGCTTTTAAAAGGCAGCACAGCGAGCTCTGGGCTGTCCTGCACGGGGGATTTAATTACACAACTGATCAAATTGCTCCTGAGGTTTTTTGTACGTAAATGTTCTGTTATTTGTCGATCAAGAGCTCCTTGTTACAGTCCTTAAGTGTGAGGAAACGTTGCGATGGGAGCCCACAAAACCAAACCTGCTCTCAGATGTATAAACATGTTAATTGTGAAAGATTTGGTTAAAATAGTAATAATAAAGGGAAAAGCACACGTGTAACGTTCATGCAGAATTGTATTTAGCAAGGGTGCTGGGTGGTCTGGAACGAGTTGGGGTGGGATGGGATGGAATGGGATGGGGTGGGATGGGGTGGGATGGGGAGGAGAGATGTGTGCCTCCTTCCCCAGCTTCCTTCACGTGGAAGAGGAAAGTAGCTAATGGTGTTAGCGCTTCGGGCGGTCGTTGCTTCAGCGTTGGATGTGGTGAAGGGGTCGGGGCGTGCTGCTGTGAGGAGCAGCTCAGACCTGCTGGCAGTGAGCTCAGGTGCTGACTTCATGGCAGAAGTCTTCCATCTCTTCCCAGACTTCTCCCCCATCCCCTCCTGTTCTGTTCCTGCCCCAGCTCCACGGCACACCACCCAGCTCAGCCTGGTCAGAAAAACAATTTGCCTGACCCTCCTGTGTCAGTAGCTGGAACTGACTCGGTTTTAAAAGCCTAGGCAAAGCGTTATTTTTCTTCTGGCTCAGTGCAGTGGTAAAGTGAAGCCTCACAAATGGTCACCAGCACTGTTGGTGGTTCAGCTGATATTTCCGTCGTGGTCATGTGAAAACACAGGCTGAGGTGACCGGGAACCTGCTTGTGTGGGCAGCATCTCCATCAAGCCGTACCTGTGTGCTGCCTCCACTGACAGCGGCGATGGCTTCTGGGGATACGTCCAGCGAGCTGCGGGGAAATGCCTCTGTCTTCCCAGGTGCACCGAGGGAATGGCCGAAAGGCATCGGAGAGGGATCAGCAGCTGGGTCCTTTAGCCGGTGCTGCAGGGTGGGCGAGTTGTTAGCGGAGTAAAACCCGCCCTCGGGATGATGTACGCCTCCAGAGGAGCCAGCCAGCGGAGATCTGAAGCAGCCCCAAGCTTGCGTTTGCTTAGGTATGGAGAGGAGAGGAGCTAGAAACAGTCCAGGAGAACTTTGGCCGTGCTTTGACCGTTTTGCTAGGTTTTTGACTCAGCTCGGATAGCAAGTAGCAAGAGCCATCTGAGAGTGTGCTGGTTCACTCTCTGAAGGCAAACAGGCTCCTCAGAGGAGTCGTAGGTAAGCATCTAGAGCTGCCCGGGAGTTAGCAGCCTGACGGGACGGGGGCTGCTCAGCAGAGTTTGCACTAGACGACAAGGTTTGCGTTCACCTTGCGTCTTTCGGTTTCCCTTTCCCCAAATTCCTGTGGACTGTGTTCCTCCTCTTGTCAAGTTCCTGGGAATGCCGGGAATGGGACCTTCCAGTAGGGCAACGACCTGGCATACCTATCGCCTCGGCTCTCTTGTCGGGACGAGCCAGCACCAGGAACCTTCCCCCACCTTCCCTTTCCTCGGCGGGCGCCGCTGCTGCTGGGGCCGGGCATCCCGGGGCCCCGGGTGGTGGGTAACTTTGCCCCTGGCTGGAGAAGTGGGAACAGGGCCAAAGGCTTCCCTGTGACACGCTTGGCCCGGTTTTATCTCAGCGTCAGTATTACGTACCTACTGATTACCACAAAAATGTTTTCCTTTAATTCCTCTTTGTTACCACACAGGAGAGGGGCCACGTACTCGCTTCGGTTTATTTTCACACTTCTAGCCGCTGTCTGCTGGGAAGTTTTACCGCTTGCCTGTCGCTAAAAATATTTGTTGTAAACTTATTACAGTTATTTTTCTCCCCCGTATTAAAGCTATACCAAGAAAAGTCAGTAAGGAAATATTTCCAGTTCTGCCGTTCTGGTTTTCAGATGTGACGTTTTGAAAACATCATTACAGAATTTAACGAGATGAGTATGTGCAGCTTACTTTTAGGTGGAATTACAAAATTATCCAAAAAGATTTTTAAACTATAAATAGAAATCTATACCATTGTACTCCAGGGAGATTTATCCCTTAATATTCTGACACAAGAAGCATTAATTTTCAATCCTCAGCTGTTGAAGGTAGTTTTGTTGCTCTTTTATATACACTCCTTTTAGTTGTTGTTGTTTTTTCTGTCCTCCCACATCTCTGTTACTGTGCCTGGATTTTTTTTTCCCCTGTTTTTGTGGAGAAGTTGCTTGGATCCAGAATTAACCTTTGACCTGATGTTTCATCTATCTGGAAAATGTAACTGTCTGGAAATTTTCCATTTGCTGCTTTTCACTCAAGTATTGGGGTTGAGAAAAAAGGAATAAGCAGCCTGCATTAAACCTATGATCCCTTTCCTTCTGGTCGGAGCCAGCTGTGTTCAGGTCAGAGAGGAGGTAGCAAGAAGATTTTTGGCCAGATCGCTTTCAAACCTGTGAACGCAATTGCTGAGCATTCGCTTATTCCTTTCTTAGGAAGCCAAAAGGATGGATGTTAAACATTTGGTTGAAGAGGAGGTAGTAGTGCAGGTGTTCTAATAAGGACTGCATGATGCCAAAATGTAAATAATTAATTTGCAAACACATGCTTGTGGGCATATTGCAAGCATAAGGTCAGGTCCTTATTTTTATTTAGACCTTAAGCAAATCCCTAGTGTGTTTTGACAGAAGAAACGGGAGAAGAGAGGTGATATGATCGTAGAGGTATAACTGCAGTGCTTAATGCGCTGTAGAACCCCCCAGCTCACATGCCAGTGCAGATGTAGCAGACGAGCTCTGCACAGGTTCCTGCACGAGAGGTGTAATTTAGTCAGGCTGGGTAGCCCTGACTAGCTGTATTGCCCGTGGTATTTCCAGTGTCTCTACAGAGTGCCCTACAACCATAAATTTGCTTTTTTTTCTGTAGAATTAACCCAGTGGGAGTGAAAACTATACCGTGAAGTAACTCTGAAGCTGCACGTTACAAGTGCGTTATCTGCATTTGGGTTGCATTAGCAGGAGACAACTTGTGGTAACTAATGTGATAATGTGATAGTCTGTAGCTTGACAAAACAATCAACAGGAGTTAAATTGATGTGGTTATTGTGACCGGAAAAAAAAAGAACAGCACTTAAGGTAACTCTAAAGCAAAGCTTTACCCCAGTGAAGCACCAAGCATGTCTCAAGCCCTAAAGTTAATGCTGGTCTATTTACCGTTTCTTGTGTGAGGTAGAAGGAAGCCAAGGTAAAGTCCCCTCTTTGCTTGCTGGGGACCAGTGTTTTGCGGGGCAGGGGCTTCCTACCTAAGAGACAGATAGCTAAACAAGCTCTTCCAGGCTGTGAGCAAGTTAATTCCAGGTATACGGGTGAGAGAGTGAGAACTAGAATAAATGCACGTGGGAGGCAGCACCATTGCTTGGGACTTTGCTCATGTTCCTCTTCTGCACACTGTAGAAGAGGACAGCGTGGCTGGGCGTCCCTCTGAGCCACGCGGCTTTTTGTCTGAAACGTGGAGCCCTGGGCATCTGTGCTATCGCTTTCAGGGGGAGCACAGGCTCCCCTCCTTCCTTTGGAAGTACCCGTGTAGCAGCACCTGTGCTTTTTGCAGAGCTTAGGCAAGGACTGATCACAGGGGCAGAACAAAGCACGGCCTTTTGTCCCCAGATGTAACAAAGCTGAATTTTCCACCCCTTGCAGTGTGTTACTCTCTGCAGCGAGGTAAGGTTTTGCTTGTGGCGAGGTGGGAGTTACAGGGTTCAGCCTCCTGAAGCCCTTTCTGGACTTTGGCACTGCTGGTCCACGTGTGACTCCGACAACCCAAAAGGTGTTTGCTCATGTTGTAGAAACCTGGAGGCATTCGGGCAGTTGTATCCATTCCTGCCGTGGTTATCCCAGGAGGATCCCTCCGGCTGTTTCAAGGCAGCAGCCAGCATCCCTCTGAAGTAGCCGCTACCCAGCCTGTTTAGCTCATTGCCAGCAGGAGGTCCAATTAACATTTTGCAATATTGGCAGTTCCATATGGAAACTACCATTCAGCCGCCTACATCTGAACTTCAGCTTTTTCCTTTCATTTAATTAAAACACAATCAAGTCAATTAGCTCATGACAGAGTTTCCCCAAAGTTAAACTCCAGATGTATGGCAAGGCGAAAGCGTTCAGATGCCAATTCATTGTGCTGCTCGCAGATAGATTATAGCTCTCCCATTTGTCAGTTTATCCACTGGGGATTAGTTGCATTTTTTCCCTTCCAAGTAGAAAATAAAAAGGGAGAAAGAAAAAAGACCCGTCTTTCCATCTGGTTCTGGTCAGGAAAAATCGATATAACATTACAGAATTTGAGACATTTATTGAAAATGACATTGATAGTGTCAGAATGACTTCTGTTTTTAATGACCACGTCAAACATTTTACCATGCAGTGTCTTGGTTTTTTCCCAGTAAGCTCCAGGAATAAGCAGTTTACCATACTCTATAGCAAGTCGATGAGTTATTGTTCTTGTCACTAAATGGGGATAATATGCAGCTGCATAAATATGTTGATTTTACTGGCATACAAACCATGACTTCCAACTCTGTGCCCTTTGGCAAGACTGTATAGAAAATCATAACGCTGTCAGAAGAGGTTCTGAGGTCTCGATAAACCAAGACGACTTTTGCAGCACATCCCTGCAGGGCAGCTGGGTGCACTGAGGGGAAGAGAAAAAATAACTGTACTAGCTAACCGGTAGTTAATAAGCATAGAAATAATTCAGACCCAAATCCACACGTAAGGAAGCTTTGAACTGAAGCTATTACATCTTCTGTTGTGTTTCTTAATTCATTTGTGGTTAGATGTGGCGATTCCCTGAGTCACCTGTATTACAACAAAAAGGTTATCCTCACACACTTTAAGGGTGATGTAGTGATACCATGGTGATACTGCTAGATACCCAGTGCTAGGGAAAGTATTAGATGCCAGTACTACCTTAGTACCTCAATATTGGTGGAGCACTTGGTTCTCTGCCTTTTCCCCTCTTGGTTGTGTTCCCCAGCGGTGGGGAGGCGGAGAGGCTGGAGGCAGACCGTTCCTTCGCCTGGGCACTCTGCGCCTTGCTTTTCTTGACAAGGATCCGGGGCAGAACTGCAGTGCAGGTGGGTAAGTCTTGAGAGGCCAGTGGGTGGAGAAGGGATTGCGACATGAAAGGTGCAGCACCCAGAGGGGTGGGGAAGGAAGAGAACTTGCCACTCTGCCGGTACCGTCTCATACTTAACAGCCCTGATGTGAGAAAGAATCCCTTAAATACATGTCCCAGTGCTCCAGCAAGATTAGATCAGTTGTGGAGAATGGTGCTGGTGAGGGGAGTAGAGAGACAGAGGAAAGAAAAAACGCTTCTGACTACTCATTTGGAAGGTTTAATAGCATTGCAATCCTGTAATACATTTTTCTTTTTAGTATGAGAAAGATTCAAATGATATTGTACATTCTCATCTAAAGTACAGCGACTGTTTCTCTTGCAGGAGGCCCATATACATTGCATCACCCATGATGTATATGAATTCCCGTATCTTTGTAAATGAGTGAACAGCATCACATTCCTCCTGCTGTTCTCCCTCTTGCTCGTGGCTGAATGGCCTCAAAACTGCTTTCTGCAGAGGACCATGACTCCCACTCCTGGTTAGGGTGTTCTTTGGGAAGGGAAGGATAGTAGATTTCAACACTATTTGTTCAGGAGGGGGGAGGAACCCTGTGAATGCTCTAGGCAAAAGCATACTTATCTTATGGACTTACCCAGGCTCAGGCACGTGGTATGTGCCAGGCTCTGCAGCGCTGTCAGGTTCGTGGCTGGAGCATCCCGGTATCCTGGCTGCAGCTGTGACGCCGAGTTGGGCTGCTGCCCAGCCCAGTCACCGCTCCCGCCCCGTGCCACAGCCCACGCCTCGCCCAGCCCTGACACTTCACGTGTGCGTAGGATTGTGCTGAAGACTAAGTCACTGAAGTGGCCCGGATTAAAAATAACCTTTTAAAAAAGGAAAGAGGGCGGAAGGGGGGAGGCATTTTTGGTTGGGATCATTCAGAGATCTACTTGCGATGAAGCCCAATGAACAGTTGTATTTTTACAAGTGAAGGAATGGCATCTTTTTTTAGGGTCAGGAATGAGCAGATGGAAGTGCAGAGAAGAAACTTCCCAGGCTGACTTCATCACCAAGCCACTCTGCTGTGAAACTCCAATCTGGGATGCTGTTTTACAAGCAGAGATTTCAGATAGTTTTAATGTCATGAATTACGGCATCTGTACCTTCAGAGTCAGGGAGCATCTGATCAGAGTTTCTCAGGCTCCCAATAGCACAAGTTTTGACATACGCACCTAAATTCTGCCTTATTTCTTTTCTTGGATGTCACCCTAAGTGCTTTTTACTCCAGGATGTCAAGAATCTTTTTGACAAGAATAAACTAATTAAACTTTACTTATTAGCATTGATTCCAGTGTACTTGTTATCAGCTTGGAGTCTCTGTAAGACTGAATTAAAATGATTCATGTTTTTCATGTCATGCGTTGTTGTTGGCCACACAACACAAAACTCCATTTGAAACACCGTTCAGATAAGAATTATTAAACAGCAATTTTATAAGACATTCCCTACTAGATTACAACAAAGTCTATCTAATGAACTCTTTCTCGCTGGGACTAAATGTGAATGTGGACTAACGTGAGAAAGAATCTTACAACTATTCAGATTCAGTAAGGGATTCTTCTACAGAAAAATCTTTTGAGTATACTCCTACTGTAGCTAGCTACTTAATTACTCAGGTTTGACCTTTTTAAATCATCCGTGTCTCAAATTACTAGTAGTAAACTACAAGCAAGGAATTTTGATCTGTTAATTATTAAAATATGGTTCTACTAGAAAAAGAATAGCATAAGAACATCATGGTGTGGGGTTTTTTCCCATATATCTTGTATTACTCCTAGTATTCAGTCGTGAGTTTAGGTTCTTCTACTGGCTTTCCACTTTCACTTCCAAGAGTAAAAATACACAGAAGTGAAAATACAGAACAACTTATGGCATAAATAGCTGCCTTTTTCTGATCATGAATTTTCTTTAAGTCAAAGCTTTTAAAAAACAGTCTTACAGCGTTCCAGATCGAAAGGCCTGGAACCAGCATAATCACAGCTATTTACTTCAGAGGAATTTATGTTAGACTTGCTTGAAATGATCTGATGTATAGTTTTTCGTTGCATTTTGCTTTTGTAAAGTTAGTTGTAAGTTCTTACCTGAAGAAGGTGTTAGCGTGTGTCAGTGCTGACATGAAGGTCTCAGTGCTGAAGTGTACCATGCCCCGAGAAAACTGTGGTGAATTCACACGCCTGCTTCAGCCGCACAACACCTCTGGAGATCATTCACAGCAGTGTCTCCTAGGCAGCTACAGAGATCAGTGTTGCTTATTGCAAGTAGCCTTCCTACAATAAGACGTGTTCAGGCATTTCCATCTTTGGGTGTTCATAGGAAAGTCGGGGTCATCCATAAACTGATCTAATCTTTGCTGGCTGCCCACAAGCTCAGGGAGAGACTGTCCTTCTTCTGTCCTTCATCTAGCTCATGGCCTGTGCCAGCATGATTTGGCTTCGCAGTGTCTCCATTAGCGTTGTTGCTAGTCTTTTCCAACAAGATCTCCTCTTTGCATGACATCACATGCATGGTTCATATACTTACTTCTTATCTTTCTTATGTACACTTTTTATCCTTCAGATGTGAAATCTACACCTAGGGCAAAGGACTGGAATACAGTAACGTCAACTATGCAGGTAGTATAGTCAGAAGTCCTAACGTCAAACTGAGTAATCATGTTTATTGAAGGCAATGAAGTGACTCAATGGCTTTTTGAAGACGGTGGAAAGAAGGCAGGACTTCAAGACATTGTACAAATAAAAGAATAACACTAGTGACCAAGCTCCTCTAATCGTGGAAAGCTAAGATGTTTTCTTGTGTATAGTGTTTATAATGATTAATAGAAGGTACATAAGCTCTCTGAGGTGAAAAATACACCACTTCATTTTTAAATAGTACATGACCTATAGAGCAAACAGTGTAAATCTTAAACATCAGTTTCCTGCTACAAAGATGAGGAGTAATAGCTTTTGAAAAGATCTTCCCATAAATGCTCTGGAACGTCATTGCTGAAATTGTTTTTTTTCTAGGCAGTTTATTAATTGGTAAAATACGCTACCTTATGATTGTTTTTGAATATAAATAAGTCCTTTTTCCTAGAAGAGTTACTTTATCTTAGGTTATTTCTGAAATCAATCTATGATGTTTGGCCATGATCATTCCTCCTTTCCAGATACATATTTGGGTCCTTTTTTCAAATGATGGAACTGTTACAAGGTCAGTGGTTTAGTAAATGCCCAATTATGAGCACTTGTTGAACTCATTTGGTAAATCAACTCCTTATCTTTTATTGTCAGAAGGAGTTAATGTTGAATCCTGTTTTCAAAAGTTGCAGTCTTCCCAAACAGAATTATTCACCACTAAATGGATCCCTTTTTTCATATGTTAGCTCGTTTGAAGCAGACAGATTTCTTTAGCTAGGATGAATATCATTATTTCAGAGTTAAATATTTTCAGCAGAGGGCAGAGCAGGGACTGATGCAAATCCATATTTCTCTGTGGGGAGCTGTTGGAGCCAAAATCCTCTTCCATTCGGAGGAAAAAATTTAGATGATGCTTTTGTGAAAGTGGTTGCCTGCAATAGACTGGACTCCATGACCCAGGAAGATTTGAAAAGATCTGTCTTTATAAAGGCTGTGCTGTCTGTCACCAGGGCGCAGGCTCTTCATGTCAATAGCCCAGCCTTTCCAAGCTGGTGGAGACAAGAACATGGGTTTTGTTCCGCTGCCTCCAAGGAGCGGGTAGCCTTTCCCTCTAATGAGCTGATGGACTGCCTCTGGCTCCTGTCCCAGGACAAAACTCTTCAGCCACCAGATCCTGGTCTCTTTTCTTCAGCACTTCGCTTCTGATTCTTTGGATTTACTAGCACAGATTTCACAGAGCAACCGTGTCTTTCCACATCCCTTAGCACCATGGGAATCTTGACTGGGATGGACCTCGGGAGGTCACTCAGTCCAGTCCCTCACTCAGAGTAGGACTATTACCAACAGTAGGTGAGGTCAGCCCTGGCTCGCCTGGCTGAGCCTCCAAAACCTCCCAAGACCTGCGCCAGTGCTGTGCCACCCACCTCCTGGACGTGTTTTTAATTCGTCTAAGGTGACTCTCCCCAGCCACAAGCTGTGGCCCTTGACCCTTCTTGTATCAGTGGGAATTGCCAGGATAAATTTAGCCCTCTAATCTTTGTAACCACCCTCCAAGTAAATGTACTTCTCCCTTAGATCCACATTTTTCAGCAGAGGCTTCTGTATTCCATAGAGGATTGTACAACATAGGCAGTGCCTGTAAGCCTAGACAGAAGTGCGATCCCTGATTCCAGGTGAGGCACCCCCACAGAGGTCCTTCTGCTGTCCCATGCCTCTCTCTTTCTGCAGAGCTGCTCGCTGCCTTTGGTGGTCTTCTCATCCCCGCCTCTCACCCGGCTTCTCAGGGTCTGTAGGGTGGCAGCTGTTTCGTTTTAAGGGAGTCTCAGCTTAAACCTCCCTAAAGATCGTCCTGTTACGTTCTCTAGGATGCACAAGTGAGGAAGCTGGGGTTTTGTACTTGTGCAAGGGGTAGACGTATCCGGGTACTTACCAAAATCTTCGCTTTTTACATTTAAAGCCCATTTGCGTGCCTTTCTTCGATCTTATCTCCATGTTATAGACCAGAAAGTACCCAAGGCAAACACTTAAATAAAAGCTTTAAATTTGGATGCATCTGAATAACAGTAATTTATCCTGGAGAAGTTTTCCATCTCCGTTCCATCTCTCTGACAGTACAGAATTTATTACATTTTATGGCATAACTCACTCAGATTTATTGATTTAAATGCTATCATTTTCATACAAATTTATCTCTGGTTTTAACTTCATAGACTTAAATGAAGTTATACAATGGATCTTTTTTCCCAGTTCTTTATTTCAAAACATTGGAAATAAAGTTTCTTGGACTCTGATTGCATTACATCAGCTTTCTCACAGAAAAGATTTTTTTTTTAGCATCCTGGTTTAATCTAAAGTCTAGAACAAATGTAGGACTCATTAAATGCCATTTGTCTGAGAAACAGAATAGTAAGATTGCACCATGATGTTATGTGTGTGAATATGCATCTTTTTAGCAGCTAGGACACAGGACCAGGATTCAGGAAGCCATTTGACAAACATAAAATTAAGCACTTAACAATTCTGTGCTTCATATTTTCCATCTGTAAAATGGGGACAGTGATATTTCCTTCTTTGAATAGCACTTTCTGATTTAATGATCTGTGATTATCATTATTATGGTTGACAGTGGCATCGACTCTGTTCCAAGTTGGTTATAATTAGAATGTTTAGATGAATGAAAGCAATTACAGAGCCCTTATGCCACAAACATTTAAGCCTGTGATTAATTTTGTGTACGTAAGTAATCGCAGTTACTTCAGTGATGCTGCTCACGTGAGTAAAATTAAGCACATTTGAAGTGTTTGCAGGACCACGAATGAAAGGCTCTAAGAAACCTCAGTTCTTAAATAGAAACAGATAATAGTAGACTTCTCAGGGAAATTTCCGGGAAATTTATTTTAACTGTGTGCTATGGCATGTTGTGGAATGAGTCTTAATTTGCTTCACAAAACTCGATGTCACAGCCGTTGATGATAAATATTGGCTTTCATATCACTCAATATGTTTTTGCAGAAAAGTAATCCTGCGTTAAATTTTGGATACAGCCCAAAAGCTTATTGTTAAATACGTTTTGTTAATAAGAAGCCTGACTCATGGCAGACTGCGCTGTGAATGACTGATTACCAGGGATATCAAACGGACCTATTTCCATTCCACTGCCAGAACAGTTATCTTTAGAGCTCGTTTAAGAAAGGATTCGTTTTACTCAGAAGAAATAGTTTATGTTTTTACATTGTAAGGGTTTTGTTTTCTGTATGATGACAGCTGGTTATTCAGCTTTACCAAAGATAGGGCAAAAGTCACCCAAATGTGTGTTGAAAGAAAGTCTCCAGTAGCGATGAAAAACTGCAGAAATGTGCAGATGTGCCATTTGCGTGTCGTGAGAAGCAAGTTCTGGCCTGCTGCAGCCGAGGAGCTGAGCAGCAGCAAAGCCCAGGGCTAGCTGGGGTGGGGACTGGCTTGTGACCAGGAGCAGCAGTCAAATGCCCTTTGGCTGCCTTCTGGCACAGAAAACAGAGGGACCCACACACAGCCTGTTGCAATCTGATAGTGGAGGAGCTTAGCTGTAGGGTACCATTTGGTTTTCCGTCCTTCAGTTACCTTTACTTTTCTTGTTTATACAGTTGATGGTTTGGATAAGGCTTCAATCGCTAACTCGGATGGACCAGCCCCAGGATCCCAAACTCCCCCCTTCAAGAGGAAGGGCAAACTCTCCACCATTGGCAAAATCTTTAAACCTTGGAAATGGCGGAAGAAGAAGACTAGTGACAAATTCAGGGAAACGTCAGCAGGTATGTGTGTAGCCCTTTGGTGCCAAATAGTAGAAAACACTGTGATGGCTTTGCAGAATAATATTTGAAAAGCTCTTGGAGCTTGTTAGATGGCAGGGATTATTTAGGCACAGTATTTGACATACAGAAAAACGGTTTGATCCTTGGCAAGGAAAAACCTAACCTTGTTCAGCTTCTGTCCTGAACCTATCACCAAAAATATGCCGTTTATTTGTTTACTATACATTATATATGATATTCTTTTGATGTTGACAGTACGCTTTTTTTTAACTAAGAAACACTAGGCTCTATATTACATATCCTCAAATATGTTGGAATTGTCTCTATGTCCTCCTAATAGTCAGTGGCTTGGATTATGAAACAAACCTTGCCTTCATGGGGACAGAAGTTTGGTCTGTTCAGAGGGGAGAAGCAGACGTGGCCATGCCCAGCTGAAGAATGAGGATCAGCTTTGTGACCCCTGCCTTCACGCCCCCATTGACAAGGCCTGAAGAATGGTCTGAAATAAAATGCTGTGATTGAATTATATTCCTTCTGAAAAAGACGAGGATTGAGGGCTGGGATTCAGTTAGCTAAACACAGTTGCTTGGTGCCACCTGAGATGCTCTGGGCCGTCCTGGCTGCTCTCTCAGAAGGTTCTGCATTGTATTTGCCATCCCTGTGCAGACATCTCCAAAACTCTGGGGCATCTCAAGTGGCTGTAGACACCCATGTTTAGGAAACTGAATGCCACCCTGCGTATATGTGTGCGTGTGTGTGTCTCTGTGTGTCACAGCTCTGGCCAAGCTTTCTCCAGAAAAATCCCAAACTTCTGTTTTGGGATTCAGACATTTGATGCTGTGCTTTTCTAAACTTGAGCCTAATCAGAGTCCGGGAAGCATCTGTGAGCTCTTCAGATCCATTACCACAGCGCAAGCCCTCTGTCCACTGTCTTCCATGGCTCTAGGCAATAAAAACAATACTAATCTCCTAAAGTGTCCTCAGTAGGCTGTCCTGAACTCTTAGGAGTACACGGCTTGACCTTTTAAACCCATTAGCAACCCCTGACAATTACAGCAAGGAACTCTATGGTTTTGCAGTGTAACTTCTAAAACATGCTTTCTTTACACAAAAGGCAAAAAGAAGCCTCTTCTCTGGTGCCATCATCACTCCAGATACCAAATGAAGTTTTGGACAATCTTTCTGAGATCCTCAAATCCTCTCTCAGTCTCTCTCTTCTTTTTTTTTTTTTTAATTTTCCTGGGTACCCTGCGACAAAACCCCCACAATTTCTTCCACTACTGCAATCAAAAAAACCTCCTCAGTCTGCTAGCTCCTTCATTGCTTCAGTTTCCTTCAGCTTTTCCAGTACTTTCATATTGCTAGAGCAAAGTTATTTCTAGTTAATGACTCCTGAATGTTCTGCAGCTACTGTTGGACAGGTATGTGATTTTATATGCAGTGAATTCTCCAGAATAATCACCATTCATAAGCTGTGTATACAGAGATTCCCCAAACAGTCACAACATATTAGCATGTGTTAAATTATTATGCCATTAAATAATAATGCATGTGTCATTTTGCAGTTATTTTTTACAAATCAATATCTGGTAAATTAGTGTTAAATACAGTATTTCTTTTGTTGTACTGTCTTTAGAGGGCCTCAGTCCAGTCTTAGAAGCATGGCACATCAATTCTTATAATACCAAAGCAAAGCATGTGTTTGTATTTCTTTTACAAGAGGAGGAAATTGAGCATAAAGAAATTAAGGTCAACATTTCCAAAAGTTACTCGCTTGTACTTAATTTGCTTGTCTTTTTATGATGGTGTGGTCCCTCAAGTCCTTTCAGGGGTGTGGAGAACCCACAGTTCCAATTGGCACTGACTTCAGATGGAGTTATTAAGGACAATTTATCTCAAGGTGAGCACCTGAAAAATGGAGATGCCTAACAGCAGGTGTAATGAACAGAAAACATTAAATAATTTCAGAACTGTAATGAAAATCAAGCTTTAAAATTATGCTATAGATACAAATAGCCAAACTTTGAGCCACAAAATATCTTTTTTAAGTGCCATACAGCTACAGTAGTTTATAATAAGTGTTGTTATCTCTCTCCCTGAACCTTGCTGCATTCATATACCTAGACCATCAGAGCTAAGGTACTAGTGACGTTACAGCAGAAGATGCGCAACGTTCTACATTCTGAGTCTCTGGTTTTGTCGCTGTGTGCTCTCAATGCATAGCTGCATTTATTACTCTTAAGAAAGAGGTAATTATTGGGAAGCAGTGTTCATCTTAACTACCTCAAAACCAATTTTCAAGTGATAGTTTGTCTTCCCAGTTCTCTCAGCTGTGTCTGTTTACTTCGACTGCCTCCTGTGTACTGGTACCAGTTTTGTGATGAGCAGAACACAAACCTGATCCAGCTAAAAACAAATCCAGCAAAACATAACAAGAAGAAGTAATTTTTACTCTTCTGCAAAGATTACCACTTGGATTTGTGTCCTAGCATTGTGATTACTATTAATAAAGCAGGCTGAAGCAGAGAGGAAAAACAGAGCCACACTTTTGGATGAGTTCTTAAATTTTAGACATGATTTTTTTCATTTCAGATGTGGTTTTGCAGCATTGCCTTACAGGTCTGGAAACTAAAAGAGTAATATAAACCTCCTTGTCTTTTTTTCAAAGTTGAAGCTTTGTTTTGTGATCAATCTTTTCTTGAAAATGGAGAGCACCAGTGTGCAAACAGAAATCCATAAAAGTTAGGAGAATTTGCACTACAAATTGGCAGAAGAAGAACAGAGTTGATGGTGAAAGATAAGTATAGTCCATAGATCATATAAGTGGGAGCTCTCTTGGTCAATTGAATATGTGATTATATGTAATTATGTATTGAAAAGTGGAAGTTAATTATCCGCACAATGAAGTATCTCTGTAAATGGTGTAGCGGTTGGAAAAAGTTCAGTGCAAGAGAAGGTAACGCTTAGTTGACTAACTGAAGTCCCCGCTCTAAGTCCAGTCGCAAGACTTTATATTTAATAGTCCTTTGTGGCAAAAAAGCAACTAACGCAATTGATTCACTAAGTGCTTAATATATCTTGTGTATCTAAAAGATTCATCTTCTATATAGACTTTTAAATTATCCTGAAAAACCTTTCATTTTTTACTTCATTGTTTAGCTAGCGTCCTGCTAGATAACCGTGTAGTACATACTCAAGCTCTTATACAGTAGACTGCTATTATGTTTAGTAACAGAACGTAGAACAGCTAATAAAACGCAAAACCATTCTAATGCTCTGAATTATATAAACTACAGTATTTCAGTGCCTATATAGTTTGTCAAGAGTAAATATACAAAATTCAATGCATGTCTTGGTGAACAGAACTTAAGATGTTATACAGGAGGTTTGGGAATTTTTGCTATTTTTTCGTTATTCAGTAGATTGATTTTTTTTTTTCTCCAAGGAGTACATATGCTCTATTTTTAATAAAGTTCTGCTTATCCATCCTGCTACACTGTAAAATTCGATTAATTTGGGTGGAATTATACAAACGTAATGACATAGAGAATTAATTTCAGGTTTTCAAAACTTTTGTATTATTTTGTACATTCAGTATATCAGCTTGTATTTGTATGTCCCAGTTTACAGGCATTTTGCCAACCATCACAATATTTAGTGCTTTTTTTCCTTAAAATGAAACTGTGGGAGTTCTGTAATATCTCAAAATCTTCAATTTCACCTCAAAACCAGCAAGACTGTCTCACTAAGCTAGGGAGAAGGAAAGAAAGTAAACCTGGATGATATGAATTGTAAGAGTTCTAAAAATAAATAAAAGGTTCCCAAATTTCCCCCCCCCTAAATTTCATATGAGAGTTTTACCCATTGTGACTCTCTAAGATGTAACCTACAAATTCAGGCATTTGGCTATGTGACAGTGGTACAAGAACAGTTCCCAGAGCTTTTATGTCGAGAAAGAAGAATGTATCTAAGTACTGATTGATCTCTACAGAGCGAAGATTTGGAGTACATCTTCAAGGCAAATATAGTCCATAGTCTTGCTTAGGTGTTATTGCTGTTTACCCTCCTATCTACATACAAAGCTTTTTCTTCCAAGTCTGGCAGTACTATGCCAGCAGGCGGTTGTGGGCTAGGTAGACCTTTTCGTTCGTGCTGGTTGCCCAGTTGTAGTACTAGTAGTGCTCGTAGGAGTGGACCAGAATAAGTCATTTATGTGTTGACTTCCAGTGCCCTCCTGCAGTTCTTCTTCTGTCTTGGCCGGAAATGCAGATGACCTCCCCACGTATTTCCATATAGAGAATAATAGGGGTAAATAGTACCGTTCTGCAGCACTAACTGTAAGGGGTTGTGTCCCCAGAAATCCCAGAAACAGACAGGGTGCCAGCCCCAGCTGCATCGTGAATAAGCTGAGCTTTTCAGTGCAAATCAGGTTCGCTTGCGGTGAAAGCATATCTTTACATGCTTGAGGACTATTGAGAGCTATAGGGAGATACTCATTTGCTTTTAAACTCTATGTATGTAAGGTGTGGGATCACTTACGTTTGTGTATGTGCTTCCTGTGAGGCTGGAATTTGAAATGCAAACTAGTTTGGATTGCACTCATCCTGCCTCAGATGGTAGTTTCAGGGAGAAGAAAATTAAAAAATAGTTATCCCTGTATTTCTTGAGGAAACAGACCCAGACCAACGGAGACTGAGAAGATGCATTTACTTGACAAGTTGCCCCTCGCTGCATGCTAACTGACACAGCAGAAGAAACTTGCTTATGTAACTTCAGAAAGAACTGGGAAAACATCTACACAAAATTAAAATCCTACAGGAAATCCTCTTCCTCAGATAACTCAATCAAAGATATATTTACATTACAGAACAGGGTATGTGTATGTACGTGTGTGTGTGTGCATCTTACATGCAGGAAGCTGATTTCCTGACCTGAGACCATGGGACGGTACAATGATCGTCACATTTATTGCCTGTTCTCTTAACAGGGCTACAACTTGA